CTAGGGACGACCCTACCGTCCAAAGAGAATGCGCTGATGTTTGTCCTTCTTGGCTTTTCTCCTTCATGATACTTAAAAAAAAAAAGGAGCCGCCAATGTAGATGTCTTGGGAAGTGTTTCTCATAGTGTCAGACATTAGCGGACAACGCCATAGTTCATAGCCGCATATGTCTGTTCCTACAGCTATTCCCATTCAGCTCGGTTAGCTTTGGTGGTAGTCGGACCTCCCGTGGGCAGCGGCCAGGGTCGCCTTGGTACAGGACACGAGATGACCGTGACCAGGTCATCAGGGTGGACCCTTCCACGGCAGCTTGTGAGAAAAGCCAGGCTTCCAACAGTGTTTGTGCAGGTGGCCAAGACGGAAGGCCTGTAATTAGGTCCTCAAATGGAGTGCTCTCTCCACTGACCCTCCCTCCTCCCTAAGGAGGGATTCTTTTTTTTTTAAATCATTTTATTGGGAGCTCTTACAGATATTATAACAATCCATAGTTCAATTAGACCAGGCATAATTGTACAATTGCTACCACCATCAGTTTCAAAACATTTTCTTTCTTCTTGAGCTGTTTGATATCCGTTCCCCTTGACCCCCTCACTCCCTGTTTCCCCCAGGAACCCTTATTATGATATTACGTCTTCTTCTTCTTCAGGAGGACCCTCCGCTAGATAAGCGTAGATGCATCCTGGGCCTGAGGCTTGGCCAAAGATGTTTTTTGCCGACATAAGCAGGGGTACTTATTCACCGCTCTCCGTTCAAAAGCTGAGGCCTACCCCATTCTTTAGAGACCATGGCTGGATTTGAATTCCAGAATACACGATGTGTTTGTTCTATTTCTTGACCCATTAAGTCCGAAGCTCTTTATAAAGTAGTTGTCCGGTCCTGGTGAGACAACTGAGAAAACGCAAGGCTCATCTCAAGCTATTTCTGCAGATTGGATACACAAATCGGTGGTCGAGTCAGCTCCAAGCCGGGCGTCAGAACAGCACTGTGCTCCCTCAGGCTTTCAGGGGCTGGTTTGGGGGCAGTAGAGGGTTAAGACCGAACTTAACCTCATGTTAACTATCTGCACCGCGTCCCCACGGACCCTCATAGCTAACATAGCTGAAGGAATGTACTGGGATAAATGATCTGTGTTGGGAATTTTCACTTAATTCAAGTTTTGGAGAATGGTTCCTAAACGCGATACAACCCGTCTTGCTCTGCCTTTGCCGGAGGCACTTAAAGAGCTGGGGGCTCTCTGCGGCTGGCCGGTGGAGGCTAACTCGCCAGAATTCCTGGAGAAAGGCCACAGGCTTGTTCCTCTGTAGTCACCACGGCAACTGCCATTTAAGAGCTAAAGGTCCTGTGAAAAAGCTGAGGATAATCTGGATGCAAACTATTAGTGCGTGATGAACCAATTTAGGAGGCTAGACAGGAGCCCTGGCGGCGCAGTGGTTACAGAGGGGCTGCCATCTACCTGGTCGGCAGTTTGAAACCACTAGCAACCCTGAGGGACGAAGGCTGGGCTTTCTACTGTCCAGATACAGACTCAGAAACCCACAGGGGGTGGGTCGCTATGAGTCAGCATTGACTCGATGGCAGTGATTTTGGTTTGGTTTTAATAAACAAATAAAAGATGTCAGAGGTTATCATATGAAGCAAGGGCCATTTCTATTTCATGAAATGCACATATGGGTGCACCTGGGCTTTTGTGCCTATGTGTGCTTGTGTGTGTGTAGATGTGAATGCATTTGCTAGTTGCATGTAAGTATATGCCAGGCTGTAACATGAAACGCCTTGTACTGTGTGTGAGTCATGGTCACAAGTTTGAAGGCCATCTAACACTGGCCCCAGGAGGAATTAACAATTAGAAATATAGGGGAAGGGGAGGCTTAGTAACAATTTGCTAATCATTAATGTTTCATTTCATAAATAGGTACTGACTAAGGTTTCAAAATGGAGTCTTGCTGGTACAATGATTTAAGTATTTGCCTACAACCATTTAAATATATGGTTGGAGGTGCAAATCCACCAGTGGCTCCACAGATGAAGACTGGCCATAAGCTCTCAGAAAGATTCCGGTCTAGGAACCCCGCCAGGAAAGCTCCCCTCCGTCCCACAGGCCCAGTACTCAAACCTCACCTGTTCCTCCAGAGATTCTCCTCATGGGAGATGGGCTGTGTTGGAAGAAAATTCTGAGATTCCATCCCTTCAAGCAGAATCACTCTTATCTGAAACGCGCCCTCAGAACTAGCAGCTCTGTAATGTTGTACCACTGTGAGAGCACTTGCATAAAGGCCATCCTGTCTTAGCAAACCCCGCAAGAAAACCAAAAGCAAAACATAAAACCCCAGGACTTTAAAGCATGTAATGAACGTGACAGGAGCTAAACGTAAGACCTGAGGGACTATTAGAATTCACAATCTAATCTGAAAACAACAAGTCCCAAACCCCGGCTTCCCCGTCCCTTTCCCAAACACCAGTTGATTAATACCATCCAGTAGGCTGGCTGATCCCGGTGACCTGGACAGCATCTTATCACTGAGCTGAGACTGCGTGTCCTCATCTTACTCAAAGGAAATGACTTTACTGGCGTTTCATTAGGGTTATTTTTATGGCACAGACAGGTGACCCGTGGCTTGGTGACTGCAGGACGCCATCATCCCTCACTTCGTCCATGCTCGGTAGCATGCTTCAACAAATGTCTGCACATGCTTTAAAAGATGTGAGTGGATTCAAAACATTTGTAATCCCACTTTTAAGGTTTTCTAGAACCCACCCACCTCTGTACAGATAGAGTGGTTTGGAAAAAATATATAATTCAGGCTCTTGTGCTGGCATTAAATTATCTATATATAGATATAGATATATAGATATATAAAGGACATCATATCTTTACCAATGGCAAACAAACAATGTAAAGCATAGACCTTCCCTTTCAGTAGATTAAACTCTTAACAGTTATATTTCCATGACATCACATCTGCACGTTCTGTCCTATGAAATGCTTGGATGACACACAGATCAAAGCACGCGTGTCTAGGAGGTGACGCTTAGTGTCGAGTATTGAGTGTCTAGAAAACTGCAGGCCTAGAAGCTAGTTTGTTTTTATAGAAATCTTTTGAAGATGATCATGCTCGTAAATATTTAGACTGTCTAGATCAAGGCTTCCCATCTGGAATGCTGTGATTGCAACCTGGTGATGCTGAGACACTGATCTCTCAGCCCTCATGTTAGTCACCTTCCGCAATGTACCCATTCTTGACACAGGCCACGCTGTGAACGACATCTCCCTGCTTCCTGAAATCCGTGGTGAAAGTCTACAGTCATGCGCTATTCACTGTGGCTGACTTCGGAATGGATAAATTCCTATTGAGCTGTGCAATGCCGAAAGGGTTTTTCTGTTAAACTGGTAGATTGTTCGAAATGAGTGTGAATGAACTCCCTGCTCCTCTTTGAGAACTGATTTCTAGGAAGCTCATTTGTTGCCTTCAGCTGTCTTGGCTATCTTCAGCCTGAGGCGCCTGCGGCGTTTATAGTCTTTCCTTGCATTTCATCACTGCACCCAAATGTTTTGTGGTTAGATGCCAGCGAGTCCGTTCAGCCTCACGGCGACCCACCTACAACAGGAACCCTGCCCGGCCATCCGCCACATTCAGTTGCTGCTTTGCTTGAGCCCACTGTTCAGCCACTGTCACTCCGTCTTGTCAAGGCTCTTCCTCTTTTTCACTGCCTTACCAAGCATGATGGCCTTCACCAGAGGCGCTCTCTCTCCTGACAGCATGTCCACAGTCCATGAGACAAAGCCTCACCATCCTTGTCTCTAAGGAGCATTCTAGCCGTACTTCGTCCAAGACAGGGGTGTTGGTTGTTTGGTAGTCCCTGGTACTTTCAGTAGGCTGAGCCAGCACCATAATTCACATCCATGGACTCTTCTCAGTCTCCTTGTTCACTGGCCAACCTTCACATGCACACCATACAATGGAGAATACCATGCCTTGGGTCAGGTGTACCTTAATCTAATCAAAGTACCATCCTCGCTTTTCAGCTCTTTAAAGGGGTCTTGCAGACTTACCCACTGCAATGCATTGTGTGATCTCGTGACTGCTGCTTCCACGAGCATGGATATGGACCCGAGCCAGGGGAAACCCTTGACAACTTCCACCCTGTCTTCATTTATCGTGATGCCGCCGCTTGGTCCTGCTGTGAGGAATTGTTTACATTTGGTTGTAATCAAAAATGAAGGCTGCAATCCGTGAGCTTCAAGTCCTCACTTTCGGCGAGCACGTTTGTGTTGTCTGAATTCGCAGGTTATTAACACGCCTTCCTCTGATCCTATGTCACCTTCCTCTCCGTGTAGTCAGACGTTCCCAAATGTCTGATCAGCATACAGACTATGGTGACCAGTTACCTCCCGAACGCACAACTTTTGCTGTATCTCTCATCTTGGCGCCTTGGGCTGTGGTGAGCCACCCACCGAGCCAACCACATTTCGTGGTTCAAACCCACCTGCGAGCTGCTCCTCGGGAGAAATAAGAGGCTTTCTGCTCCTTTAGAGATTTACATAGCCTCAGAAACCCAATTCTACCCTGTCAGTTCTACCCTGTCCTACAGGGTCACTATGAATCGATGGCAGTGGGTTTTGTTTTTGTTTTCTGAAAACATCTTGAAGTATAACCTACAACCTTTTCGAAGTAGGATGGATTGAAAATGAATGGATGAATGTTTAGGGAAAAAGTCAATATATTACTATGTGATTAGTGAATAGAACAATCCCTCTATAAAGAACCTAGTAAAACTGGCCCAATCGATGGTGCACGGCAATACAAAGAGTGTATTAGGCATAGCATGCAGCTCCACTAGTTCCTGCTTTGAATAATAACTCGAGATGAACCCTATGAAACTGTCAACTTTGTGAGTCAATTGGGGTTGAATACTGGCAATTTCATATGCTTAAATCTGAACAGGAGAACATGATTCATAGGATATTAACATATATTGAGAAAGGCGAATTATGTCTCACCTGAATGACCTCAGCATTCGATAGGATTTTCCTAAATCAGATATTCGTCTGCAGAATGGGCCGACAGCCAACTCCATCTGAAAGAGGAAAGACATCCTGTAGCTTCTAAGGGCAGAACCCTAGGTGCATCAGGGACACACCTGGATCACAGAAATCTGTAGTTTGCTGTAAACTTAGTTTTATCTGGACTGTGAGGTAAGTATTCAAAGCCAATTACATTTATGAAAAGGTAAAAACTTTGACAACTTTTACATTAATTGATTAATGGAACACAAAATGAGGCAGCAACTTTGTGAAAAAAAGGAGAAAGATCGTAGTTGTGTAAGAGGAGAAAGCTTAGATATTTCCTCCAATGAAAAATCTGAAAAAAATGGAAGATAATTTAGACAGACTGTGTGCCTCAACTTAAAGCCTAAAGACAGTTACGGAAAAGGAAGCCGGTTTTCAGTAGCAGCCGGTGGTGCCTCCGTGACTGGAAGCGCCTGGTCCACGGTTACTAGGTATGCCACCCTGGACGAGCTAGCGACTAACCTGCGCTCCGGTCTCTCATCTACAACACAGAGGTAATAGTTGTCACAGAATTACGCAAATTAAATAAGTACATCCACACAATGCTCTCTACAAGGCATATGCTAAGTGCTAGTTAAGTGACAGCAATTGTTAGGTGCTTAAAAATTTCCCTTTTATGTAAATGCAGTTGCTTTGAGAATATCAAATTATTGGCACTGTTCTTTATTCTCCTCCTCTATACTGAAATCCTGCCTCTCATAAAGTGTAGCTTTAGGCTACCTGTTCTTTATTTACATCATGTGCATGTGAATAATTTCATATGGAGCCCTCAGATGGTTAACAGCCTCTTCCATCTTGCTAGAACTGCTTGCTAAGACAGTGGCAAAGGAAGGGCTCAGAACTGGCTTCTCTCTGCAGACACAGCTTCTTTCTTCTAGAAACACACACCGACAGGGGGATTAGAAAATGAATTAGACTATCTTCCTTACAGGACCTCTCTGAAATGTAGCGAAGAAGGGGGTATATTCATTAATTTCAACAAGATGATTATCAGTCAACAGACTCATAAGCAAGGTACTTCTCGGTCTGCACATGCGCACATACATCGCTTTCTGATCTAATGACTGTAAGCAAATAACATGCTGCAGCAAGCACGTGGGAGAACTGCGCACCAAGGGCCGGAGGTGAGCGGCGGCCAGGTAACTTCTGACCCTATCAAGGACTCGGAGTTCATTATACTTTATGTCCTAGAGGAAATCCTCACGTGGCTGGAGGCTCTCTAAGATTTAGAAGAATAAATAAATAATAAAAAGGAAAACATTAACTAAGGAAGAAGAGTCAAGAAGACTCCTGCCACCACCACAAAACAGAACAGTGCTCGAGCCGAGCCAGCGTTCTGAACGCCAACCTCCAACAGCAAGTGGCATTCACTGAGTGGGTGAGTGGGGCTGATTTCCTTCAGAACGTGTAGTTTACTACACACCAAGCACCGAGTTCACACATGGCGGATGTGTATCTTTGACTGGGCAGTTTCAATCCTATTTAATTATACGTGTGATCATTTAAGTTTGTTTTTATCATGAGCTTTTTTTGTCAATTAACTTCATTTGTGTCAAAGTTGAAATCAGACGGCCTTTTCCTTAGCGCTTGAGCAGGACTGAGGAGCCTTCTGGCACAGAGGTTAAGCTCTTGATTGCTAATTAAAAGATCAATAGTTCAAACCCTTCTATGGTTCCTTAGGAGGAACATGGCAGTCTGCATCCATCAAGATTAAAGCCTTGGAAATCCCATGGGGGCAGTTCTATAGGGTCCCTGTGGATCGGGATTCACTTGATGGCAATGGGTCCTGGCAAGCAGGCCTAACTGTTAAAACCACCCACTGGCAAGGAAAAAATTACTCTATGAGAGAATATGACCCCAAAGAGCTATAAAATCTATAATGATAAAAAAAAATCTATAATGATGCAGGAGATAGGTACAGGACAATTATAAAATGTTAAATGCTTAAAATACATTTTTTATCCCTGTCGGACCTCCAGGGTATTGAAAATCATCTTCTGCCAAAATTCCATGGAACACTAAAGGCTATGTTTTAAAGGGCAGAAGTGCCCCTTTTAGAAGAGGTGACTGCGATTAGCTGTGGATCCCAAAATGGCATGTGCCACTATGTCCCCGGCCCTCCTGTTTGGAAGGCTGGCCGTCAGCTGCAGGCCCGGTGAACTAATTACAGAGCTGCTCCTTGCTCACCCGAGACAGTTGGTTCACCACAGGGCATCTTCGGATGCTCCTGGGCCACTCCTGCCCTGACATTGTTCAGAAGAAAGGAAACGGGAATTAGGACAAATTAGACTCTTGATTATTTTCTTTTCCAAATTTATATTTTCAGGCATAGAAAGACATAGATATAAATATATACTCAAAGGGCATCAGAAGGTCTATTTATAGACGTTGTCAGGAAGACTACTAAGTAAATAATCTAATGCCAATGTTAACAGCCATCAGGGGAGATAAAAGAACGAGGAGTGGGGATGTGTGTGTGGGGGGTGTCTGTGTTCAGAGGACTGTTTGGACAGGTCCCCAGAGAGATTCTGACTCGATTGGACTCCAGTGGGCTGGACAAACTGAGTGCTTTCAGCACTGCTGTGTGACTAGTGCGGACATGGAGGCCATGTGGTGGCCACAGTAGGGGAGTAATGACCTAGACTCCTCAGGAGGGCAGGGCACTGCTAGCCTGGCTGTGAGCCCTCTGCATGGCACCCTGAGACTCCTGCCTCTCTCCTCTGGGCAACCAAGCCAGTGGGGTGTGGACGGAGTCTGAAGACAATCTTCCTGTTTTCTGTTGGAAAACCAAACCAAACCCCCCAACCCCCTGAGTGCTTCCCACTTTTTGAGTTTCTTCTCCTAAGGAGATTCATGCCAGGGGAGCAGGAACTTTGATCTCAGGACACTCCTCAGCCCCCATAGGGTATGTGTGTCCCCGTGAATCCAGTGGCCTCCACAGTTTTGTTCAACTCTTAATACAAACGGACAGAGCTCTCCATAATGAGCCAGTTGAAAGGTTTCTAGTCCCCGTCTGAGGCCTGACATGAATGTCAGTGTTTTGACTGACCCGAGAAAAAAAAACGCTTCTGACCAAGCAGGATTCTGGAAGCTGAGGCACGACGAGATGAGCAGCTGCTGATGGACAGGATGCCAGCCAAGTGCAACAACACCCCAGAACCTCACAATGCAACTCTCAGACAGTGAGGGTGTGATCAGCCTATCAGAGCTGGACAGTATTTGCCAAGTGACAGGTCACAGACATGACCCTGATCACGCTGCCCCCTGCTGTCTCCGAGGTGAGTGTTGGGGCAGGCTGGACTGAGGACACAGTCAACAAAGGTGGCCGCTTCCTTCTCCCACATGAGCGCAGATTTGGAGTGGGGGGGGGGATGCAGCATTTCGTTCGTGAAGATAAGGGAAAGAGAACTGTTTGAGCCCCAGTAGGTAATATTGATGGATGGGCTTCCTGTAATTCAAGATAAGGGACCTGGTAATAATTCGGTTTATGCGGCCACATGCCTTAAGAAATGAGGAGTGCCCAGTCAAATTCTGACTACTGTCCTGTTAGGGAGGTGGGAGCTCAATGACCCTGCCCTAAGCGACTGCACATTTTGAGCAGGTGCTGCCTGCAGTAGCAAGGGGGACGGGGGAAGACTCTCCTTCCTTCAAAACCCATAAGGAAACATATCATTAAAATTTTTAAATGAAAACCAGAAACAAAAGCCCTCTTTCCTACAGCACGCTTATTTTGGCCATCTCCTGCTTGGCGGCCACTCTGATTGGACTTGAAGCGCAGCCTCTAGGAAAGTGACTCAAGACGCAGCTGGAGCGGAATGCAAATGAAGGGGGGGGGGCGGGAGCAAAAGGCAAACAGGAAACCAGGACAGAGACACCATGCATTGGAGCAGTTCCCAGGTCACCAGCGATCATTCAGTTCCCAACTGCATCTCTCAGTGGAATTTATAGGTGAGACGGACAGGTGCCCGACAGTTCTTGTTTAATCTACTTTAGAGCAAGAAGACGCCTGGAGCCTTTTCCATCATTTCAAAGCTCTGCGTGCAATGAGTGGTGGTAACTGGTATAAAGACTTTGTTGAGGATACCGTCCTGTGCAACATAACATTAAAGGGCAAGTGGGAGGGGCCCCCCTGTACTTCGGACATGTCGGGAGAGACCAGCCCCTGGAGAAGGTCCTCAACAAGATAGACCGCCGCGGTGGCCGCAACAATGAGCTCAGCCTTAGGAACAGTTGTGCGGATGACACAGGACCAGGCAGCGTCTCGTTCTGTTGAACAGAGGAGTCTCTGCAGGTCGGAACCGACTCGACACCACCACGCAGCACAGGAGTTGTTCCCAACTCAGGCTTTCCCACCCACTGCCATCACGCCACCACGCAGGACAGAATAGAGGGTCCTTGCGTTTCAGAGACTGGAAATCTTTACAGGAGCAGAGAGCCCGTGCTTTTCCTGGGAGGGGCTGCTGAGTTGCCACTGCTCCCTGGGGCTCTGTTCCCATCCGAGCAGGGACTGTCCGTGTTTCCCACAAGTAAGAGCCAGGTCTGGGAGCACCACTGTGCTTTCATTTCAGTGCAGTCTGCCCTCCAGTAGGGACACAGAAGCTTCCAATTGCACACAGTTCTCTTTAAGCTGAAATCACCTCTACCAGCAAAGCACACCACACAGGCGCCTGAAGGGAAAGCTGATAAAAATGCAAAAGATAAAAGGAGTCACCAGGATGTTTAATTTCTCTTTCATGCAGAGGCTACCAAAGGCAGAGTTCCCCAAAGCCGGCTTTTTCTGTGGGTTAGTGGCCTCAGGCATTACTGACAATGACTAATTGACATGCAAAGGGCTTGGCTCCAGAAACAAAATTGTTTGCCTGGTGTCACCTGCTTCTTTTGTAAATCATGCCTTTAGGACTAGCATCAGCGAGCCACTTCCTTCCCCCAGTGCAGGAAGACTGAGTGAAGCAGACAGGCCTGCCCCCAGATAGACTGGGGGATCAATATTGACACTGACATTTACCCTGCTTCATAAGCAGGGAGGATCTGGCAAACCTTATGAACAACCCATTTGAGTAACTATTGAGACCAGTAAAACCAACAGCTTTGGAAGAAAACATTCACCCTTGTGACATGCTATGTAAATGAGTATCAGCTCCATTTCTGAATCTTTGAGGGAGAGTGTATGTTTGGGGCGTTTCTTTGCCTCTGATGCTTTTGAAAAGCTTTTTTGGAATCTGCCTAAAGGACAAATGAAAAACAAAAACAAATGCCTTGCTAAAACGTTGATTATGGTTCAGATATTGTGATGTCATCCCTCATTCACATCAGATCGCTTGGAATGACTTCAAGGCTCCCCACAGATGAGAAATGTACTCTATTTAATAGAGGGAGACAAAATCATCAGATGATACATTTACCCGGTCCACTGTGAATCAGAATGAGTTAAAGCACGGCCCTGGAATGCTGAGTGGCTCCTAGAGGATTTCAGCTGTGTGGGCATCCCTTCTTTCTCTTTATAGGACACTCGGGGGGTCCTCCCCACTGTTTGAAAGGTTATTTCACTGTACACACCATTGTCCATCAAGGTCAATCAATTACTCATCACCATTGATCCGGGGGGACTAGTAGAATCCTAAGGAAGTTCCATGTTTGGTAAAATTAGCCTATAGAGCTTTAGTGTGAAACGAGCTACTTCACCTTAACCTTGAAATATTCATGCTGAGTTATGATTGTTCTATTAAGTACAAAGAAAAGACACCTGGTATAGAAGTATCATTAAATTCTCTGGCCCCCCTCCCCACATCGCCCCCCAGGTTTCAATGGGCTTCCTTTTCTTCATGTTGTAACTCTAAAAGACTTACGAATGCACATTTAGTCTTTTGTGTAGTCAGCAGTATTGAGACTTCCCCCCTCTGTAGCTTTGTGCTGTTTACCTGGGTGAAATCAGCAGCCAGTCGCATTTTCCCACCTTGACCAAGAGGCCGGATGAGGCTGGCGTTGCGGACGAACAGCTCAATTGCTCTGTGGGCAATCGCTGCAGTGTTGTCAAAGACAAAATCTGAGCATTCAAAGTGTTTAAAGTAGTCATTCATAACTCGGGCAATGAAACCCTGTAGCTCCTTCATGTACAGGGAACAAGGCACTTCAGTTGGTTCTGAGCCGGAAAACGACCTGCAAAAAGAACCCCAAACAGCGATTTTCAGTGCCAGTGCACTCAAGGGCACTGTTGGATTGTTGTTGTTTTTTTCCTGCTGCTTTCTACATTTCAATTGTGCAGAATTTTTTTTAAGACACCATTTGTTTCTACGGGTTAGAATGGGCTGGTTGGCAGTGAGGGAGCGAAGAGTTAAAGAACAGAAAAGAGCGTTCGATTTTATTCTGAAGACTGCTTGTGAATGCTGGGAGGATCACGGAAGAAACCTTGGAACCCATTTGCCTGACGATTTAGAGTGGAGTGGACAGCTGCCATCTGTCTGGAAGGATGGAGCACCCTACGCACTGGGTGGCCTCTCACGGTCTCTCCCCGCCCTGCAGCTCTCAGTCCACTGATGGGTCTCTGCTCTGCACTGGGTCCATCAATACTCGATAGGGAGAGAGCATTTTATACTTTGCATGGGAGAAAAATGCTGCCTTCTCCAAACAAAGTCTTGGCAAAGAGAACTCAGCTCTTATGCTATGCAATCTCATCAGCCAGGACCAGCCTTCTGACAGTGGCAGTGGTTATGTAACAATACACATGGTATGCAATTTTTTCCTCCAGATGATGCCATTTGGAAAGGCTTTAATTTGGATCAACAGATGATGCCAGCTGATGCTCCATGAAATACTATTTATAATTTATAAATGTTTATAATTGTTCTCTAAAGAATATATTAAAAGAATGTGAAATATTTATAGGAAAGAAGAGTTACACCAAAATTAGAAATCACCTCATGGTAATTAATCAGATGAGATCACTGGCTGCATAAACCTGAATCTTTTTAAAAGAAATAAGTGTTTTCATACACTGAGAACGGCAGCGAGAAGGTGGTCGTCCCGGTCCAAGTTCAGAGAAGGGCCATAGCTCTGACTCCAACGGCTGGAGCGAAAGCACGAGAACCGAGTGATGCTCAGGAAGGCAACTGTTGTGGTTTGAGGATACTGCTTTGAATTGAGTTGTGCCCCCAAATATGTACTGTACAGCCTCACCTCTAATCATGTTTGGGGGTGCGTTGTGTCTCACGGTTGTGTTAATGAGACTGGATTAGGGTAGGGTGTGTCTTGAGTCAATTGTTGTGAGTTATAAAAGAGATTAAATAAGCAAGCGAGTAATCAAAAATGGAAGAGATGCCAAGCCCCGTGAAGATGGTCCCCGAGGAGAAGCTCAGAGAGACGAGGACCTTCCTTCAGAGCGGACACAGAAGGGAAGCCTTCTGGAGGGCTAGGCACTCGGAATCCAGATGGGCGTCGAGCCCCCAAATGTGAGAAAATAAATTGTGAAAGCCACTCACCTGTCGAGAACTAAGTCAGATGCTAACCAGAAGTCCTCCACTTCCAGAAACAGACCGAACACTGGGCTCACGCCCCAGCAGGAAGAGATTTGATGTGTGTAAGAAAGCATGTCCTCACAAGGGCAAGGCCTTGACCTAGTTCCCCACCAGGACAGAGGGCTGCCTGCAGCCTTCACGTGGGTCTGGTGTTCCCAGAGTCAGACAACAACCGGGCCTAATTTGTCTGGGTTTCGTCTGACCAAAACTGGTGGGATGTCAATCTCTTTACCACTTTATGCTTCATTAAAAGAGCAGTTGTCATCTCAGCACTAGTCTGAAGGGTCATGTCAAGGACTTGGTCAGGTCAGGTTGAAAACAATGTCCTTAAAGACTAGAAAATTACATACTAAAATGATTTCCATAAATGTGCCAAAGAAAGTAAAATCTAGGATTCTGGGGGGTATTTTTAATTAAATACTTTTATTGGGGGCTCTTATATCTCTTATCACAATCCATACATTCATCCATTGTGTCAAGCACATTTGTATATATGTTGCCATCATTATTTTCAAAACATTTTTTCTTTCTATTTGAGCCCTTGATTTCAGCTCATTTTTCCTCCTCCCTCCTTCATGAACCCTTGATACATTATTATTTTCATATCTTACATCATTCTGTCACCCTTCACCCACTTTTCTGTTGTTTGTTCCCCTGGGAGGGGGTTATATTTGATCCTTGTGATCAATTCCCCCTTTCTTCCCCAACCTTCCCCTTCCCCTCCTGGTATTTCTATTCTCATTGCTGGTCCTGAGGAGTTTTTACTGTCCTCGATTCCCTGTGTTGTGGGCTCTTATATGTAGCAGTGTGCATGCTCTGCTCTAGTCCGATTTGTACGGTAGAATTGAGGTCATGATAGAGGGGGGAGAAAGCATTAAAGAACTAGAGAAAAGTTGTATACTTCATTGGTGCTATATTGCACCCTGACTGGCTCGTCTCTTCCTTGTGACCGTGCCGTAGGTGGATGTCCAATCATCTACAGATGGGCTTTGGGTCTCCACTCCACACTCCCCCCACCCCATTCATAATGGTATGAAAATTTAAGATTTTTAAAATTTTTATGTTAGACAAAAATGTGAAATATGTATTATCAAACTCACAGTGAGGATTACAAGCTTTCTTTATTTAAATTTACTAGAATACATACTAGTAACAGAGAAAGATGGGTCTTTCTACTCCAGTAAAGAGCTCCTGTCTCAGAAACCCACAGAGACACTTCTACGCTGACCTGCAGAGTTACTATGAGGCAGAATTTACTTGATGGCCGTGAATGAGAATACAAATTTACTTAGTGATTGCTAAGCCTGAGTTTTACCAATTAGGTCACAAGAAAAAGTTCAGCAACAATTGTGCAGAAGTGTCAGGGACTTTACAATTGCAGAATGCAGACAGAAGTTGTAGGAAGGAGAATCCATTGCATAACTGGAAAGTCATGGATGATCATCTTCCAGTCATTGGTGTGTGTGTGTTACTTTTCAGAGATTACCCTCCTTCACTTTAAGGTTCTAGGGTCCTCTTACTTTTAAAGACCCATTCATCCCAAACTGGGATCTGACATGAGTCATTTTATATTAAATGAGTTTCAATCCATGTGCTACGTCAATCAGACATTTACATTGAAAGCTTTCTCTAATTTGGAAAGAAACACACTGTTCCTATTTAAATGCAATTCAAATTCCAGGGCACTTTGCTGAGGACGACATTTCAGACAGGAGATAGGCTACATCTCCATACATCACCTTGGCCTAGAAGATTGACTCCTTTCACCTGTACTTGGTATGAAATCTCTGGGCGGTGCACTGAACACACTCAGCTGCCATGGAAAGCCTGTTCACTCAAGTCTCCCTAGAGGCGCCAGTGAAAACTCCAGGGAGCATAGCTCTACTCTGACATATGTGGGGTCGTCAGTAGTCAGAATCCAAGACAACTGCTTTTTCAGTTTTAAGATAAAGGGGACATGGAGTGGCAGGTGTTATTATTTTTTGCAAATATGACCCTGGAGAGCTGGTCCTATTATAAAATAAAAAGGGTCTGTAGGTAGAATTTTTCAATTTAACTTCTTGTCTGACCCCACCTGCAAATGCAGTCCTTCTGTCTCTGATCCTGAGCTCCAGAGCTGGGTCCGATCTCACACGGTAGAAGGAAGCAGAACTGTACAGCACGAAGTCTGCACAGCCCTCTCGCACTGGCCACCAGCTTGGGAGTCCCTCGGACCTCTCCCTTCTGACCTGCTGGCTACAAATTTGAGTGTTCCCTGGACCCCCACAGGATGCCAGCCCAATGCGAGTCTGGTGTGAATAAGGGGGGACCCTGGTGGTCGTCGTTCAAGTGCTTGATGGTTAACCAAAGATCAGCAGCTCGAACACATCAGTCCCTCTGTGAGGGACATAGCAGACTGCTTCCAAACAGAACCCAGCTTCTGAAGCCCTACGGAGAAATCTGGCTCGGTCATACACGGTCACGGACAGTCAGCAGTGACTTGATGGCAGTGGGTCCTGGTGTACATAAATAGAATGGTCTGAAAGCGGAGCCTGGAGTCTTGACACGAGTCTCGATCCATGTTGAACTTCAAGGTTGCCTTTTCTAACAGCACGGTCTCTAACCTTTTTGCTGAGGGAACCACATGCCTGAGAGGAAACACTGGTCTCTGTGACCTGAAGATGTCACAATCTAAACCCGGAGGCAGGACATGATAATTCATGTCCAAAGGGTCTTGATGCACATCAGTATTGATGAAGCGTATTCACGATGGAGCCCCAAGGAACAGACAGGCTGGAAAACAGGTTCCCAGAAAACTGTTCATGCTACTGTCCTGTAAATAACTGAGAAGCACATATGCTTGCAATCATGTGCCCCTAACCAATCATGCAATCTCCCCTACATGCTATCCACAGTCCCTGCTAAGCCCCTGCTCCCATACCCGGCCTCCAACGCCCATCTTTCAGTCAATCATGATTTTGTGGCTTTAGTCCGGCTTCACCAGTAGAAGCCTTCTTTATTGCTTGCAGCCATCTTCACTCTGATTTTGGACATTTTCTCAGTCCAAAGTGTCACTAGACGTTCAACAAATCTCTAAATTTTACTTTTGCGGAGTGTTTTCACACCAGCAAACAGCCATAATAAGCCCGGGGGTCCAAAGGTCCCCTGCTCTCTGACCTGCTGGCTCCCACTGTTCCCTTGGGTTCCATGATTTACTAGAATGACTTACAGAACTCAGCTAGTAGGTACACTTAGGATTAAAGCTTTGCCATTGCAAACAGGATATAAATGAAGAGACACATAGGGCAAAGACTAGGTTCTAAAGAATGTGTGACCCACCTAGGCACCGATGTCTTTCACCAACTTAGAAGTCCACGGAGAGTCAGTCTCCAGAACTTTTTATTGGGTTCTCATTACACAGGCATGAAGGACTGAACCTTTGCATGTGGTTGATCTCGCTCCAGCCTCCCTCCACTGAAGTCTGGTGATCCCAGGTGCTAGGTCTTTCTAGCCTGGCCATCCACCACTTCAGTAAGCATCTCCTTGTTAGCATCACCTGTTAGGTATTTGTGGCTGGACCCTCATTGAAAACACTTAAATCACTGAGGACATTCCAAGGTTGTGGATGTTATTTCTCAGGAACCAAGGACAAAGACCAAATTCCCGAGGTAAAGATTATTGTAAACCCCACAAAAGGTAACTTTTTGAATAAATCAAAAGTCAAACCCACTGCCATCAAGTTGATTCTGGCTCATTAGTGGCCCTATACAGGGTTTCTAAGACTCTAAATCTTTCTTGGAAGAGACAGCCTCATCTTTCTCCTACAGAGTGGCTGGTAGGTTTGAAGCACTGGCTTTGAGGTTAGCAGCCCAGTGCCTAATCCACAGAATTACCAGCGTTCCTTAACTTTGTGAGTAGTTTAATTTCACCTTATATTTCATATAAATTGTATTTATGTAAAAATAATAGGACAATTACATAATTTACAAAATTTGAGCTAGTGAGGACTTTTAAAAGCACTGTAAAGGAGCAATGTTCCAGCTTTGGAAGCCAAATATTCGTGGAACTACAAACAGTGATTGTTGGCACACCACTGGTTTAAACTCTAGGTTCCCAAACTGGGGTGATCACTGGAATCACCTGGAGGATCTGGTGACCCTAACAGATCTCTGGGCTCCTCTCCTTAGAGCAGTTCTCAACATGTGGGTCGCAACCCCTGGTTGCCCGATTCATTACAGTAGCAAAATGGCAGTTATGAAGTAGCAACGAAAAAAATTTTATAGTTGGTGGGGCGGGGTGTGTGTGTCAGCACACATGAGGAACTGTATTAAAGGGTGGAGGCATTAGAAGGTTTGAGAACCAGTGCCTTACAGGTTCAATTCATTAGGGTGCATGTGACAGCCAGGGTGCTGTAGGTTCATCAGATGCTCAGGTGATTCCAATAATCAGCCACGCTTGGGTTGATTCCAATGATCAGTCAATCTAGGGTTAAACTCTTGGCGACTTATCAGTTTAAGAACAAACCCAGCTCATGTGTAGCTAAGCAAGCAAGGCACAACCTACCTATCTGGGAACCCACTTCCAAGGGGGAACTGCTAAGGTATTATGTATAACCAGAGGTAGCTGCTCAACAACACAATTAATGACTAAAGCAGATGACCAATCAAATGTTAAGATCTCAAAAAGAAGAAAACCACTCCAAACTCACTGCCACAGAGTCAATGCCAACTCAAAGTGATCCTATAGGACAGGGCAGCACTGCCACCGTGAATCTCTGAGACTGGTAACTCTTTACTCGAGTAGAACGCCCTGTGTTTCTCCCAAGGAAAACTGCTGCGCACACACTTAGCAGGCCAATTCGTAACCGCCACGCCATCACGGCTTCAACAACTGCCTCTTTTTTAAGCCCCTCTTCAGAGGCATTCATGATGGTCTAAGTGGAATACTTCAGGTCCCTTTTGAACAAAATCTCATTTTCTTCCAAACATTGGTCGTCGGCAGTTTTATCACCTATTGAGTCCCAAATTCTATTACATTTTTAATAGAACTTCTGTGCTTCATACCATTATTAAAATTAGAGACTGATTGTTTGACACTTCAAAGGGTGTTAAAGAAATAAATGATAAGTGATCTGAAAAAAGTACATATTCATTTGAACAACATGAATATAAAAGAAACAGCTAGTTGAGAAATAGCAGCTAGGGATGTATTAGTATTTGAGTGTTCACAGCTATTGTGTGTAGTTAAGATAATAAAAGTCACTTTAAGCATTTGTAAAAAATACTGAAAATTCTCCATAGACACTTTTCTAACACACCAAATCCAAATGGCCCTCCACTATTTGCTAAGTTTCAGTAAGGCCAGGGTTTAAAACTTTGATTTCGCAAGACACATAGGATACAGAAATGCAGTATCCAGAAGAAACAGAGTAATAGCCAAGTGTTTATGGTTAAGTGTGACTTCGCCAGATCAGACTGCTGCTGGGGCTCTGAGAAAAGACAATCAATCCAGGAAGGGTGGGGCAGGAGCCTTCCCTCAGAGCCAGTGCAGGACTGGAGGTGACAGGGGCAGGTGGTTCCCTACAGAGAAAGCCATGTCAGAAAGCTGGGGGACACCAGAGGCTGAAGAAGAGGGCATTTGGGAGAAGCACAGGGAAGACAGTACAAGTTTCCAAAAGTCCCGAGGCACCACGCTGTGCCTGTAGGCTTTAATGAGGTTATGTTTCCCGAAGGGGAGAGAAATGCTGAAAACAAGAGCTGGACACTGTAATCTGCTAATGGCCTTCTGAATGGATACAGCGGGGAGAGGTTGGAGGCCAGCCAGGTCACAAGAGGAACAGGCCTCAGGTGACAGGAGGTTGAGCGAGTCAGGGTGGAGGTGGGAATGAAAAACAAAGGCAACAAAGGTTAGTGGAATTTTTGATTAAAAGCTGTTACCCAGAAAAGTCTTCTTGATGCATGGTGATGAGGATGGCCTCTATAGCATCTCCCACGGAAGTCAGTAAGGGCTGCACAGCGCTTCCCATAAGCGCATGGATGGTCTGAAAAGAAGGAAGGGGAGGCAACATTAAGGAAAATCAATGCAAGGGGTTCTGAGAGCTCAGAAGCATTTTGATGAAAAATGTTCACTTTAGATTAAATTCAGCCTTAAATCATTTGACAACTTAACTGAAGTCCTGTCCTCCTCTCTCTAAGTGCTGTGGAGCATGGCACTGAAAAAGGTCAACGACCCCAGTCGTCTCTTTGTTCTGAGAGGTGTCCTGGTAGAAGATGCCCCTCAGGAGAGGGAGAGAGACTTTGGAGAAGGAGTGGTGGTACAGTGAACCCTCGCCACTTTGCGCTTCGACTTCCGCGGCTTCACTCTATCGCGGTTTTTGCGTAACAGCACCCACTGCCTACACCCGCTCCTTCAGAGGAAAAAGACGGCGACCCACCTGTAGAGTACATCCCTTAAGTCATTTTATACGTTATTGATTACAGTATTTGTAAGAACTATGTATAATAATACTGTATGTGAAATATGTAATACTGTAAACTAGATGCCATAAATAATATAATAAATAATAAATGATAATTGTAACGTCCAAAATGTTTTACTGTATTTTCCCTTTTTCATTTAATAAATTGGGCAATACGAGTGTAATGGTGACTAAAGGGTGTTTTTTCATGTCCTCTATTCTCTAACTATGAAAATATTTGATTTACAAATAAGGAATCCTACTTCGCGGAATTTCATTTATCACGGTAGGGCCTAGAACCGATTAACCGCGATAAATGAGGGTTCACTGTACTTAGAAATATCACATTGCGCCTTTCTTAAGTTTCTCAGAAGAGTGAGAGTAGACCAGTGTGCTTTAGAACCTAGAAGATCACCGTACGCTTTTAATCGGAGTGACTCTAGTCAATGTACTGGTGCTTCTTGTCGGGCAGAATGGAGAGGCATTTCATGAAGTAGGTTTCTATTTAGAATCATGACAATGATTTTGTCTCCCAAATGCTGGCAGCATTTGGGGATCTTCTTGATGGTCAGGGAGGAGGGAATTTCAGGTGCCATGTACTGGGTAAAGGGCAGAGACTGCTAAACGGACAACAATGCAAAGGACAGTCCTGAGACAAAGAATGACTCAACTGACAAGTCCACAGTGACGAGGGTGAAACCTGTTCTTTAGTGAAATGCAGCCACTGTAAAGGAGCTCTAGTGGCCTCGAGCTGGCTGCTAGCGGCCAGGTCAGCAGTTTGAAACCACCAGCCACTCTGTGGGAGAAAGATGAGGCTTTCTCCTCCTGTAAAAAGGTTATAGTCTTAGAAACTGACAGGGGCAGTTCTATTATGTCCCATTGAGTCGATATGAGTTGGAATAAACTCGATGGCAGTGAGAACCATTGTAAGACTCTAGGGTGTAATATGTGTTTTTGATATGAAAATATTAACTGGATCTGAGCAACCATTTAAAATGGTCAATTTAAGTACATTATACAGGCTTCAATGATGCTGACCCAGAATGAAGAGAACTGACTTTTGCTCATACAAACAACTGATCAAAATCAATAAGTGATGGTTCAATGGGGCCTTTGTTTGTTCAATTCTTAAATGTCCTGTCTAGTAAAAGTAAGCTTACATACAAGAGTGGGATTGTGTGTGCACAGTGCAGTTTACCTTCAATGAGTTCAGAGTCGAGGAGGAGTAGATAAGTTATAATATAGCAGGAAATGTCTCCTAACCAAGTGCGGTGGGATCCTAGGAAGGGCTTCTAATTCACGTGGAGAGGCTCTACACAAAACAGGTGTTGTTTGAACTCAATTTGAAAGGACAAGTAGGTAGGAGCCAGGTGAAGAACAGGTGGAGCTGGTAGCATGTGTGTTAAAAGGCACAGGAGTTGGGAAAGGTCATGCATTTGCAAAGCATTCAATACAGAAAGAGTATAAAGTGCCGGTCCTCAGGGGAGAAAGAGGCAGCAGGAGGTGAACTTTGTGTGAGCTGGTAAGGAATTGGGAATCTATCTTGGGAGCCCTGGGGACCCAGTGATGGGTTTTAAGCAGGGAAAGATGTAGGCAAAGGTCTGACTCTTAAGGAAAAAAATCACATTGAAGAGGTGAATGGATCAATAAGTGTGAAAGCGGGGTCAATGAGGAGGTTGTCATGATAATGATGAACAGAGAGGAGAGTCTTTACCAAATCAGAGGCGATAGGCATAGAAATAAGGAGCCAAGTTGGAAATACTTTGAAAAGAGAAAGGGCAGGATTTGGTCATTAGATCCCAGTAGAATAGAACAGAAATAGCTAAAGTATACTTGGATTAAAAAAAATTGTTGGTACTATCATTAACTGAATGTGTAAATAAGAAGAAACTATAGTTTGACTTCAGTTAAAGAAAGGAGAGGGAGAAGGTGACAAGTTCAGCTTTGAACATGTTTCAAAATTGAGTGCCTGTGGGAAATACAGAGGCTATCAAGTAGGTACTGAGCTACGTAAATTTGCACTTTCACAGAAATTGTCGACTAATTTGGTAGCTGCTGGCTGTAAGATTGAGACAAAGTCACAAGAGTCAACAGCATGTCAGAGGTGGCTATGGAGAGTTAGAAGGCCAAATGGTCCCTTAAGGTCAAGTAGAGGGTGTATAATAACAATTACCGATGACCTACTACGTGCTAGGTGCTTTACATTATATATATATAATTTAGAGCTCAGTCGTTCCTCAAAGAATTATTCCAATCTCCAATTTATGAATGGGGCAACTACAGTAAATGACAGCCGGAGAAAGGAAAGTGAAGTGAAGGAGACTTTCAAAGTCACAGGATGAGAGAAGAGCGAGGGCTTTCTAAGTGTGTCGCACTCCTGTGAGTTCTGCTGTGGCTCCATAGGAAGGAGAGGCAGCGAGAGACAAGGGCAAGGTGGAAATCCACAGACAAGAAGATTCCCCACTGTTAATGGGAAAAAGTGAGTGTCTAGCAAAAGACCTCCTACACGTAACTACAGGGAAAAAAGACCAAAAGTGGAACAAATAAAGATAGCAAAAATGTCCTGGGGATCTCTAAAGAAAGGGTGGTTTCAGAAAGAGGGCTGCAAAAGATGGACATTGGGCCTCCACTCAAGTACTCCCTCAATGCAAGAATACTTTGTTCTAGTAAACTGGCATGCCATGATGCTCACCTTCCTGACACGATAGTTGAAGACAAAAGGGTGCATAAGCAAACGTGGTGAAGAAAGCTGATGGTCTCTGGCTATAAAAAGATATAGCATCTGGGGTCTTAAAGGCTTGAAGGTGAACAAGCGGCCATCTAGCTCAGAAGCAACAAAGCCCACATGGAAAAGAAAGCTGATGGTGTCTGGCTATCAAAAGATATAG